TAGGTTGGAGGCCATCGCTCTTAGGTTGGAGGCCATCGCTCTTAGGTTGGAGGCCAGCTCTTAGGTCGGAGGCCATCGCTCTAAGGTTGGAAATCATCGCTCTTAGGTTGGAGGCCAGCTCTTAGGTCGGAGGCCTTCGCTCTTAGGTTGGAAATCATCGCTCTTAGGTTGGAGGCCAGCTCTTGGGTCGGAGGCCATCGCTCTTAGGTTGGAGGCCATCGCTATCAGGTTGTTTGGAAGTATCTTTCCAAAAAAGGTTAGGTTGGAGGCCATCGCTATTAGGTTGGAGGCCATCGCTTCTAGGTTGGAGGCCATCGCTATTAGGTTGGAGGCCATGGCTATTATATAGATGGTTTGCAAGTATTTTCCAAAAAAAGGTTAGGTTGGAGCCATCGCTATTAGGTTGGAGGCCATGGCTATTAGGTTGGTTGCAAGTATTTTCCAAAAAAAGGTTAGGTTGGAGGTCATGGCTATTATTAGGCTGGTTGCAAGTATTTTTCCCAAATCTTTAAAATGTATTGTATTTTCAGCGAACAAACGGAACCGTCGACCTCGCCTCAGGATGAGGACGACACTCCATGGCACGTGCAAATCACGCAGCCCATCACCTTGGATCAAGGCATCGAGCACAGCCGAGTACAGCCGAGCGCTTCTCACTTTATGCAGTTTGCACAGGGCACCAATCAGGAAGGGGGACATGTCGGGCGCCATATCAAAGTGGAAGTAGTGCTTTCATACTTGTGTTAAACGGAGGGTCATATTACCAGTCAAAGTAGCCAGAACACCAAACAGTCTTGAATGACATTTCCTTCGCAATCATTTTCTTCCTTGTTTTGTGAGGTATTCCTGAATTTTCTATAGGTGATCAGGGAATCCGAAACCAGAGGTCGTTGCACCCAGCTCCGCTGTGTAGCGGTGGTGTGGTTAGGGGCGAGGTAAGACCTCAACCTGGGCCATGCATAGACGGAATCAGTGAGAAGAATGCCGCCCGCGACCTTGCGCGCTTCCTTAATGCCGATGAGGGTCGGTCCTGGTTGGTCGCGTGAAGAAGACAGAACGCCTGCGCGCAGGAGAGAGAGGTATATTAAATTATAGTGCTGATGTCGAACATTTCATTGGAATTCAATTCTTGACCACCGCGTCGTTATAGTTTCCCGGCGCATTGTTTTTGTTCAAGAGCAAAAGGCGTGTTTCAGTTATTTTGTGTGATTCTTGCTTGATAGATTTTCCTCTTCCAGTCGTAGCCCAGTCACACACGTATTCCATGTGATCAAGAGCTAGATGCCACGTCCAAATTCATTTGACCGACCGAACTCCAACACGGTTACACGTGGAAGGTGGGGAGGATCCGGCTTACTATGCGCTTTGCGTGCGAGCAGCTTCAGACAAGGCCGCACTGAAAAAGCCTACTAGTAGCCATGGCCTCCACCACAGTAGCGTTCTTGCTACTAGTAGGGATGCCCTTTGTTCCTAGTAGCTTCTTGCTCCTAGTAGTAAGGCCAGGAGCCCCTAGTAGCGTTCTTGCTCCTAGTAGTAAGGCCAGGAGCCCCTAGTAGCGTCCTTGCTCCTAGTAGTAAGGCCAGGAGCCCCTAGTAGCGTCCTTGTTCCTAGTAGTACGGCCAGGAGCCCCTAGTAGCGTCGTTGCTCCTAGTAGTAGGGCCAGGAGCCCCAAGTAGCGTCCTTGCTCCTAGTAGTAAGGCCAGGAGCCCCTGGTAGCGCCCTTGCTCCTAGTAGTAAGGCCAGGAGCCCCTAGTAGCGTTCTTGCTCCTAGTATGTTCCTAGTAGTAAGGCCAGGAGCCCCTAGTAGCGTCCTTGTTCCTAGTAGTACGGCCAGGAGCCCCAAGTAGCGTCCTTGCTCCTAGTAGTAAGGCCAGGAGCCCCTAGTAGCGTCCTTGCTCCTAGTAGTGAGGCCAGGAGCTCCTAGTAGCGTCCTTGCTCCTAGTAGTAAGGCCAGGAGCCCCTAGTAGCGTTCTTGCTCCTAGTAGCGATGCCAGGAGCCCCTAGTAGCGTCCTTGTTCCTAGTAGAAAGTTGTGGCCTCTCATGACCTTTAGTCTCACCCCATGAGATCCATAGTTTCTTGGGCAATATATTTTGATAGGTAATGACTTTCCATAAGAGTTGAAAAGGCCCAACATCAGCCAACAAATTTTGGACCTTTGGATTGGGTCAGGTTGATGACACTCACTTGGACCTTACCTGACATTAACTGCAGATGTCAATGATGAAGGTCCAACTAGCCATGGCTTCCCTCGCTCCCTAACCTGGAGCCCCAGTGTGAAACACCATGGTTTCGGAGTAGATGGCACAAATCCAGAGCTGGCAGTCGTGTTCACCGCTTCAATTGGCTTTGTCATTGTAGCAGTTGTTTTGGTTGCGTGCTCCACGTAAATCATTTCTACATGAAAACCACAAAAACGTTCATTGCCCTTGTGCCACCTACCCAGGTCCGCCACCGTGGTTTCTTCAGCCGCCCCGACACGTCGTGAGGCGGGTGTGCTGCACTTCGCCGTCGACGCTGGCGCCGCACTGAACTTCGCTATTGCTGGCGGTGGCTCCGCGGGGCGGCTGCAGCTGCGGGAGGGACAGGCCTCTTTCTGCTGCTGGTTCTTTGAGATTCTCAGCGCTGTTTTTTTGGCGTCAATGCCCATTTCTGGGAGACCTGCTACCTTGTACGATATCATCAAATTGGCATCAGATAAGAACCAAAGTCTGTATAAAATCTCCAAACCGCCAGCAACCACTTTGACCCAATTAGAATGCATTTTCCCAGACACTAAGAAAGTCACATGTTTGCAATGAGTGAGCTGCTAGCTTTGACCAGCCCGGATACTGTCGACTGAAATATCTTTTGTGTTGACAAATTTCTTCAACCTCCAACGAAGCCTCGCTGGTGAACTCTCATTCGGCGGCCCCAGTATTGACAACTACCTTCCAAGAATTGTAAGCTACAGAGCACAAGACGGGAACTTCCTCAACCAGGGGGTGCAACTCCTTTGAACAGACACTGGGGACGTTGAAAAGGGGTGCTTTCTGCTGCGAAGGTTCAACTAGGCTTCGAAGAAAAACCACTCCTCACTCGGACCAAACCTGTCTGCAGCTTTTCTGCCAGGAGGCCACCGGTGCCTGCTTCAGCTTTCGTGGCTGGGATGATGACGTCACGCAAACCGTTGCGTTCCGACCATGAAACACCTGATGTTTTGAGAGCGATGGCCTCCAACCTAGAAGCGATGGTCTCTTACTAGCAATTAGCGATGGCCTCCAAGCTCATTCCATTGTGCCGGGGGCTGAGAAATCACGGGGGTTTGTGCATTTTGAGCCTCCGACCTGTCCAGTCAAACTATGATCGATTGTTGCAGTTTTTACATGGATACTGCAGTTTGAACATTCCCAACCCCATCCTGCCCAGGCGAAACGATAGCTTAGACGTAGATCATCCTCGCTTGCACTCTGCAAACTGCCAGTAACAAGAAGCTACTAGGGGCTTACTACTAGGAGCGATCGGACGCTACTAGGGGCTCCTGGCATCGCTGCTAGGAGCAAGAACGCTACTAGGGGCTCCTGGCCTTACTACCAGGAGCAAGGACGCTACTAGGGGCTCCTGGCATCGCTACTAGTAGCATTCTTGCCAGTGTTGAGGCTTGGGCCCCTCGAGCTATGAATACGAAGGACGGATGTGGGTCCGGCGGGGTCGAGCCGAGGATGTCGCTTGGTGGGGAATGTATCAGAGTAGTGAGAACATCAGCAAAAGGCGTGTGCAGACAGGCCAAACCTATGAAGACTTTACATAACAAGCAGTGTAGTATGGACCCTTCTCCGTGTTTAAGATGTGTTCATATTCGGACCTGCTTCCTTGAAATGCTCCACCAATTCGTGTGCTTGGCAGTTTCCCGGATATCCTCAAGACAGACGCCAGAAGAACCTTCGATTGGAACTTGATTACGTACCCCGTTTAGACTAGCTTGACAGGAGTGCGGGCATTTCCCTTGTTGTGTGGCTTTAAGCATCACGCGCCGCGCTCGAATGGAACAGGCTAGTTGTGCCATGTGTTAGACCTGGACACCCGAAGCACCCAATCTTCGGCCCAAGTGAATCTCTTCATAGTCAACTTCGAAAAAGAACACATGCAGTCCGTCTTTCGTCTTTCGCGTACCGCTCGTGCGGAACCCGTGTCGAAAGACGCGTCCGACCGCGTCGTTTCGAGGCCGCGTCGTCTTGGACCTTGGCGCCTTCGTTGAGCGCTCAGAGGTGGGGAAGTTTGGGATTTGAGACAGACGCGTCTCCAACTTAATAGCGATGGCCTCCAACCTACTAGCAGACAGAAACAGACCGGCACATGGGGGAAAATGCAAATAGCACAGGTACATAGCTCGAGGGCTCTTTCTCGCCAGACGCTTTTCAGCCAGCTAAAGTGCAGTAGATTGCAGAAGAAGACCACCTATCAAGTATCAAGAAGGCCACCTATCATACGAACTGACTGGCTTACCAAGTTGGGACAGGCACCTGCCGCAGTACTAATTTGTTCCAAAAATTGTTTACGTGATTTTGGGACGAAGCTGGCCTTTTTCAGGAAGCATGATGCAACTCTTCGACCCACACGCAAGTCGACAGGTGAGCAGGAGCTTGCTAGGTGACGGAAGGCAAATTCGCAGTCAACAGTGACCCAACACAATGAACTCAAGTGTGACAGACAATACTTGCTGTAGCGCAGGTCGACAAGGTGTCTATGCCGTACCAGTAGTTTCGTTTGACCCATGATGATGATGATCCTCCTCCTCCTCCTTGAACTCACCCAGAACAAAGCTGCATCCCCGCTCGACGTGGACTCGATGCTGATCCACATAAAAGCGATGCCCTTTCTAGTAGCATCTAATAGCGATGGGTTCCCTAGTAACGTTCCTGCTACTCGTAGCGATGCCCTTGTTGCTGATGGCGATGGCCTCCAACCAGTCAAACGCTTTCGCAATGAAATGCATGTCCTGTAGCTGCTCATGTAAGAGTGCTTGCCGGTGAGGGTTCGATAAATCGCGGGAAAGGCCCAGAAAAGATTTGGCCATCAGGCAGATACCATGCTCCACTTGCTCACTTTGCCTATGGGCCATTGTTACACCTGCTTTCCTGCCGCCCTTGTGTAACCCATGCTGGAAGCTCTGACAGCAACTGACACTGAGCTGCTCTGCCAGGTCTGCCAGATCTCCTTGCGGCGCTGCTCCAGCAAACCCGCTGCGCGGGGTTTGAAGCCCCTGCGGCGTTGCTATTTGGCGCCGTTCCCCGCCATGGTCGGGGCGGTGCAAAGAACGTGGGGAAATGCGGTCACATGGTGGGCACTTGTTCCTAGAAGCGATGCACTTGTTACTACTAGTAAGGCACTTGTTACTAGAAGCGATGCACTTGTTCCTAGTAGCGAACATTGCTCCCAGTAGCGATGCCAGGAGCCCCTAGTAGCGTCCTTGTTACTACTATGGTGGGTTGCTGGTGATGGGAGACTGCTAGATGATTTTGAATGGCGCCATTCTGATGTTCTCTGACGTTCTGACCCTTTGGATGGGGATGGCTATATACCCTCAAGATGGTTCTGACTTCCGAAGGGAATGGGTCCAAATCCCTTTTCCAAAGTTGACCCTCAATGCCAAAGCACAAACTCCGAGAATATGTGGTAAATGAAGGATCGCTCTTGTTGATCAGGACATGCCAAAGAACCCTCCAGGCCCTCCACATCGAAAATCGTCACGGTTCCACATGCCAGCACTTTTCAGCACTTGTCCGACCGATGCTGGCAGTTTTGATCCAGTTCGATCTTCTCCTCTGCTTTGAGGCTGGAGGAAGGTGCTGGCTGCACCCTTCTGGAGGTGCAGAGGGGGGTGTTCTATGACGTCAACCGGCTCCCCGTCGGTGCAGAGGGGAAGTCGGTGGAGTGACGTTGATGGCCTCATCGCTACCAGGTTGGAGGCCATGGGAGGCCATGATATTCCGATTTGCAAAGTCGCGAGAGTGAAGAGTGTTTTTTCTTGCCGGGGCAATCAGCAAGTGAAGAATTCAAGCAATTTTGGGCTCACAGAGGAGGGATTGTCAAAATGTCTGATGTATTGAGTAGGTTTGGAACGGACGTTTTGTTTTGTTGGGCTCCAAGCGTTTCATACAAACCCCAGTTGAATTGATGTGCCAACAAGATCTAAAGATTGACGCATCGAGATGATTTTTATTTTCCTCCCAGAGGCGAGCGTTGGTTGCCGAAAGGACCATTGAACGAACATGGGGTGCTACAACATGGCAACGAGAACGCAACGGATCCCGTTGGCAGCAAAAAGTAACTCAGTAACTCACGAGTGCAAAGTGTCCCATTTCGCACCTGGAGACCCTTCGAACCGACGCTACGAACGGGGCTCTGACTCCATGTCTTTGGCGCAGTGGCACTTGTAGCACTGAGGTATGGCCAGGTGAGGTCCGTGGGTGGGGTCGGTTGACGGCACCGAGCGAAGAAACAGGGGTCTCACAGCTCTATTGCAATTGTGGGTTGCTGTGGTGACAATGAAGTTACCTATGGCAGAGTTAGGGACACTTCATTTGATTGCTCCTCAGTTATTTTGGGCAAAGTTGATTCAGAGTCCCATTGTCTATCTAAGCTTGACCGGGACTGATATCCAGAAGATTTCTTGACACCAGTTTCAACCACACAATTTCTTCTCGTAAGACTTGTTGAGTACCATTCATTACCACCAGCGTTGTTCCCTAAATCCAACGCAAATTCTGACACCCTTTGTTCACAGCTTCAAGTTGGAGCAGCTGTTCGGCGTTGTTCTTTCGATGATGGCCCCCATGATTTGAGTGAAGATCTAGGGTTGTGCCGCTGTTTTGAAATAGTTGAAATAGTCAAGTTTGTTTGATGTTTAGCAGGTTGGCGCTGCAGCTCAGTTGAGGGCTGACATGTGAATGCTTTGTAGTTGCACAGGAGTTTGAGAACTTGCATAGGACTTCATGCTGCGAGCGTTTAAACAACCTGGGTTGAGGTTCGCAGGGTATCTTTTCATTTCTAGCCGGGGACCTGCGCATGTTTGGAAACATCCCTAGGCATCATACTCTACAGTATTGCACCAATCTTTTTTCACCGAAAAAACAACAAGATGGAGCCCACGAACCCGAATGCAGACACGTTCGAAAAGCTACAAATGACACTCTTGTAGGACACTCTTGTGGGACACTCTTGTGGGACACTCTTGTGGGACACTCTTGTAGGACACTCTTGTGGGACACTCTTGTGGGACACTCTTGTGGGACACTCTTGTAGGAAACTCTTGTGGGACACTCTTGTAGGACACTCTTGTGGGACACTCTTGTAGGAAACTCTTGTGGGACACTCTTGTAGGGCACTCTTCGTACGAGACTTCCTCCAAAAGTCACACGTCAAGTCTCCAAAACGAGCGTTTCGTACGAGACTTCCTCCAAAACTCACATGTCAAAGTCTGCAAAGCGAGCATTTCGTACGAGACTTCCTCCAAAAGTCAAGTGGAAGCACCCATCGGAGCACACACATCACGCAGCCCTGCCAAGCAGCTTCGCGAGTCCAGCCCCGGCAAAAAACACCCGTTCACACGCCAATCCCACTGTGACAGCGACATTCACCTCTACCACAACTCACGACCTCACAATTCCCTGCGCCTGCCACGAATCTTTCCGCATCCACACGTCTAACGCGTTCAAAGTACTGCGCCTGCCACGAAATGTCACCTCCGTCACACCTCGCAACCTCACGATTCCCTGCGCCTGTCACGAGAATCGCACTTCCACACCTCAAAAGCCGCACAAAGTACTGCGCCTGCCACGAAAAGTGACAATATCATCTCATGTGAGCTTCAACAAAATTTGCATCACACCACACGTTTGGAATGATTTCGACCCGTTCTGAGCACACTCCCATCCACCAAAATCGGCATTTCAGCTGAGACTTGTCACGAACACCCCAAAAACACGACTCTCCAAACGCTAATCCCAATGGAACTGCCTAGCAAACTGCGGATCTCACAAAACGCTGCGCCTGTGCAGCGAAATGCATCACGCTTCTTGCGCGACATGTCATTTTCATGCAAATCACAATGGAATAGCGAAAAGTCACATTTGCAAAAGCTTCCCCCAATGGCAGCGCCTTAGCGCTCACGGCTGCGGACGGTTGCGAACATAGAAACAACGGGTCGCGAACACGGCTCTACCCCCAGACCCCCAGAGTTAAACGAGAACTCTTCGCTACGCATTCGGGAAAAACACATGACAAAAAGACGAACAGCCGCCCCTTGCGCATGTCTTAGGGAACCCAGTTTATGAGGTTTTTTACTGGGACTGGTGAGCTTGCAGCATTCTTCCACGATGTGCGGTCCACCCGCAGGAGACGACTGCAAAGCGCTCTTGTCTCCAAGAGACACGACGTCTCAAAGGCTGACGTCGGGACGTCGGGATGGGACGAGCCACGATCCGTCAGGTTTTGTTTCCCCTTGGCGATTCGATCTGATTTGACTCCGAAAAGATGGCATTCCGCAGTGAAACAATGTTCGCTAGTAGAAACAAGTGCATCGCTTCTAGTAACAAGTGCCTTACTAGTAGTAACAAGACGCTATTAGAAACTTGCTACTATTGCCCCATCACATGTAGAATGCGTGCGCCAACCTACGCCTGTAGGTGGTTGGACGCACCCGGGTCAGGGAAGAGGCACCACGTAGATGCATTTCGTTGGTGGCCGAAGGCCATTGGTCGCCGAGGAGACGAAGGAGGCAGGCTGAAGCCAAGCCGCTTTGTAGCACAGGTGACGCGAAAAGGATGCAAGAGTGAAGTGGAAGGCGTGCCATTCCCTCTGCCCCAACGCCTTGATGGACCCCCGAGCAAACCACCAAGCCTACGCCAGGCAGCATGGGCACAAGTGAAGACTCAGGGCCGCATGAGCGGACCAACCTCTTCACCAGAAACTGTAGTGGACGCATGGCTATGGCCTATCAAGGCTAAGTGGACCGCTCAAGGCTATGAGTGCCTATCTCCTAACTCTGCAGCTCCGTTTCGCTGCTTGAGCTTGAGCCAGATGTCTTGAGCCAACGAAAAGCTTGTTAATTCTTGTTATAGAAGAGCCTCCTGACGCTGCTCACGTGACCCTAAAGCTTCACTGACCCCAATGCTTCACTCAATGGCCTGATTCGGTAGGAAAAGACATATAGCGATGGCCTCCAACCTAATAGCGAATAGACACGATGGAATTGATCTTTTTGAGCTGCAAAATCAAGCATCTCGCGTTGATGGAAATGGGGCTCACTAAAAGAGGGGGCTTGATACAGACACATCCAATTCCGGTTTGCCCAAAAGTACTGCAGAAGGCAGGTCATTCACCAAAGAAGGATTGAGACCACTGCTGTGCGGAACCCACAAATCAGCATGGGGATTGCTATTTTGCTGCGTCAGCCAACAGCTCACAATATTTGGCAACGAAAAGCCCATGTCTATTCCAAGGCGTTTTCCTAGTTGCTCGCAACTAAGTTCTTACGGCGAGGGTAAGGTAGGGTTGGTGGCCAGGGTTCCCGCTCTGTTCTTCGCCTTCTTGGTGGACCTTCACAAAAAGATTGGCCTCATGGTTGGTATACATGGCCATTCTTCGTGACAGGTGCAGGTCGTGCAGGGCGCATTTTCAATGTTTCGTGGCAGGCGCCAGGGAATGCTCGTATTTTGGTGGTCTCAAGTCAACTGTTGGTGGCACGCGCAGCAGATCGGAGGGGATGTGCAGATTTCGTGGCAGGCCTTCGGCGTGCTCAAATTTCTTGCTGGGGGCAATGAACATTGGGAGGCTTGGCTCTCTTTTTTGAAAATTGGGAGAAGTATCCAACGAAAGGCGGGTTTTGTAGCTCAAGTTGTCTTTGAAAGTGCATAGTTTTGCGATCTCTAGGTGCAGATTTCGTGGCAGATGTCGTGCTTAGTGAGGAGGCGTCATACGTGTTCTCGCTCTTATGTGTGTCCTCTTGTGATTGTGTGTGTGTGCTGCGCTCTCAGATGTGTGCTCTCATGCGAACTCGTGTGTATGCTCTCGTTTTCATGTGTGCCCCCACATAGGCGCTTCGACATGTTTGCTCTCACGTGTATTCTGTTGTCTTTGTTTGCGCGCTCAATTTGCGTTCTTATGTGTGCTGTCACTTGTGTACCCTCATGTATCTCCTCTCATGAAGGTGTTCTTACGAGGCCTTATGTGTGCTCTCAAGTGTGTGCTCTGGTGATCTCTCGTGGCACGCCTTTGGCGAGTCAGGGATCCGTTCGGGAACTGTTGAAGTTGAAGCAGCTGCTGATGGCAAAACTCAGCCACTTCAGGGGGTAGGCGCCTATGATTGGAGTTTGGACGGCCCTTGCGTGTCGTATTCGGCGAGAAGTTCACGTGGCGGCCTCGCTCTCAATCGGGCGCAGTGCGCCACACAACCAAACCAGGTTAGGTGCCCTAGGTCTTTGTTGAGGAGGTATGGCTTTGCCCTGTTTGTCCCCTTTCATCTGGTTTGGTCTTTATTGTAATCGCACACCTTTCCTGTTTTCTTTTGATGTCTTTCACACACCGGCTCGGGCCCTAGTGTACTCGTGGGCGCAACCACACTAGTTGACAGGTGCTTGAAGTTTGCTACAATGAGGTCTGGCTCATTGGTTGTCCCTGGTCATCTGGTTCCTTTCATTGCCTTCACCCACTTTGCGCGCCCTTTGTGGAATTGAAGGTTACCTTTTGGTATTTTGGAAGACTTTTCACCTTTTGGTATTCAGGGGTGCTGATGAGACCGATGCCAACAAAGACGCTCATCAGTTACCTTTGATACAGTTGGAGACGTCCGACTGCGTACTGCGTACCTGCAGAATTAAATCTTTCATTTCTTCATTAACCCCGTTCTTAACTAGAACAATTTCTTGCCATTGCAGTGGTTCTCTCACGGCAGTCACGCACCAGTGCTTGTAGACTTGATCGGAACTTTGAGGTCTCAGGCCCTGACTTGACACATGAACTCTTCGGGATGGTCAGACCCCTTACACATTCTACTTACGCCTTTTTTCACCCAGGTTTGCGAGTGGCATGCAGCATTCACATCGCACGCACGCTTTTCCTGAGTGTGTGAATAGCGAACGTGGTCTGAGGAAGCCATTCTTTTCTAGGATTCACTTTTCTTATTTCAGGGGAATGGTTGCGTGTTTGAATCGGGAACTTGGTTGGTTCGAGGCCGCCTCTCTTTTCTGGGACTCACCTTACTTTGTTGCCTCCCTGATTTGCCTGCCCTTGCGGGGCCAGCGTGTGCGAAGTATATGCTTGGTTGTCAATGATCCGCGTACTTGACATGTCATGTCATGCCATGTCCGCTCCATTGGATGGAGTCGAGTCTTTATGATTTTGGACCCACAGGGCCGTGGTCAAACGAGGTTCCAACACATATCCCTTCCACATTTTTCACACGTGCAGTGTGTGCCATATGTGTTTGCGCATGCTGTCATATGTGGCCTGTCACATGCGTGTTGTCATGGGACACGTGCTGTCATTTGCATGCCTCCCAGTGTGTGTTGCGCTCTCTTATCTGGGTTTGCAAGTGTGCCGCCATATTTGTGTTGTCATGTGTGTGTGTTCTGTTCCACGTGCTCCCATATGCGTGCTCTTCTATATGTGCTCCTCTCTGTGTGTGTGTGTTTTCATTTTGTTTTCACATATGTGCGCTCTCAGGTGTGCTCTCAGGTATGTGCTCTCTCCAGGTGTGCGCTTTCATATGTGTTGTTGCAGGGTCATAATTTTTCAAAGCAAAGAACCACCAAAAGTCCTCTCAGTTGGATGGTCTTCTCCTTCCTTTCTGCCGCAGGCGACAGTTTTGTCTTTGCAGTGGGGCGGCGTGGCTGCAAGTGATGACCCCCCCCAACCAGGCTCACTTGGCCATGTGGCACCTGCATGAGATGTGCTTGGCTCACACTTAGCCATTGGAGATCCCAAAGCAACCCGATACCATTCAGCAAACAAGAATGTTTGTTTCTGCAGGTTTTTGTAACCAAAGGTGGATTTTGGTGGACCATTGTGTGGCCGTGGGTTTATGTGGCAGGCGCTTCAAAACAGAAAACAGGAGACACCCCGGTGCGATCGGAGAAGAATGGAAACTATATATATATGTATACACACACACTACATGCATAGATATACATATAAATGTAGAATACCACCAGTCAACAAAGGTGAAGACATGAGAAAACATGTTTTATATTTTTTCACACAATGCAATGCATGACGGCATGAATATATCCCCGTCAGTTGAAGTTTATTTTTTCCCCAGTAACGATAAACATCCTTGTGAGCGCAGTTTGTTACAAGCATGGTACCCTCCCAAACGCACGCGCTGGATTTTCACCCCTTACTCACACTCACGTCCACATGGGTGTGGGTCCAGGCATAGCCACCACGAAGAAGGTGAGTAAGGAGTGGGAACCTGTGAGAAAAGTGCAATTATTGAGGCTGAATTTTGGGCACACCATTGTTGAAACCAGGTCTTCGACAAGGAGAACCCTCAAGTATCAAGTCAACCTAAGGCTTTCTGGTCCGTAAAGTGTTTGCACCCATTGAGTGTGGGAGAACCATATCGAACGACCATGAGATTTGCAGATGACATCACCCAGCAGTGGCAAGTGCTTTGGGACCAGGGATTTAGCTTGTATCTCACCCAGGGAGAACGACTTTCTATGAATTTGGTGGGTTGTCAGCAAAGACACATTGAGCATGGGGTGTCCATTTGTTTCTGACAGACGCTTTCTTCCACCCCGAGGCACCAAAGGCCTAGTTTGATTGCGAAGGCGTTTTAAACACTGGTCTTTGTGAAGGTTCAAGTCTATTTTGAGGTGTGACCTGCTCACCATATGAGCAGAGGGTGTTACCTGATTCGTGTTGGCGGTATTGAGAACCTCAGGTATATATTAGAGGCCTTCTCCCGAAAAGACCGGTAGGGAAAACTGAAAGACAGGTTGGAGAAGACGAAGGTGGAACAAGAAGCTACTAGTAACAAGTGCATCGCTACTAGTAACAAGTGCCTTATTAGTAGTAA